CCAGAGATAGAATTTCGCTAAGCTAATATACTTCTTTCACTATGTTGACGCTTATAAAAATCTGTTTGCTTACTAGGGTCTCCTTTATTCAAAGATGATGCAAAATTTTGGAAACAGCAGCTGCCATGAAAAGTGAAAAGTTAAAGAAAGGACATCGACGGCTCGACGACTTCTTGCGTTATATCTGGCACACATTGTCCCATTGTTATAATGTTACATGAAAGAAAATATATCGTCGAACCCAGCAGCTGGTCATTACAAATCGGAGCAGCTGTGTGCCAAAAGAAAAACAAGCAGATGAAGAAAACTGCGTAACTGTCTCATAAATTTGCAATCGCAATCGATTCGCACATCTTTTTTCCCAGGTAGAATAATCCATAGTTCCATATGCATGCAATTAGATCTGAAACTCATTACTTTCTAGGCTGTGTTGCCGCTGTGGCAGATATGTATGTTGCTTGCCTTTTTGGAGAAGGTTTATCGAATCATTTTCATGTAATTAGAGTTGCGGTAGTTTCTAGTTCTGTCCATAAAAATGTCATGACTGATATTTAGTAATTGAAAATTATGATAAGACTTTATAATGGATATTCATAACTCATTCGATAATCTATTTTGTTAGGCGTGGCTTAAATATCACAACCCTCTTCTTCTTTTTCACGTAATGAATGCAGAGATTTTGTATCTCCCCAAGTTGTCAAAAAACATCTTAGAAAAATCTGGAAATTTGCGGCTTGAGAGACATAGTTACATATGGTGGTTAAAAGATCCATCTAGAAGACTATGAGTGCGGAGTTCAGGGTATATCTTAGTCGGGCACTCCTCGGTAGAGCATTTTACTTGTTTCTTTCTTTCCAATTATACCTGTTCTTCTATATTAGCAATTCGCTATTATTAACATTTTTTTTTATTATTAACGTTTCTACGATGAGGAATTCTGACTTATCTCAATCTGTAAGCTAGAGGCCATCAAGTTCTTGTAAAAGACATCTATTTAGATCTTTTTGTCTCTAATTCTCTGGTTTTTGCTTAAGTTCATGTTGAACTTCGTTGAACTTTCGAGGCGGTCAGCAGCGAAGCGAGATCCTCTGCCGCTCTCGCTTATCACAAAGGCGGGGCGGGGGTCAGGGGAATCAAAGGCGTGCTTTATAAATAGTTTAAACATCCGCTTTACGCCTCAACACCGTTGGATGACACATATATGTATGAACGAATTTTTGTTTATTTATTTGTTATTTATGTATATGTATGTGTGTACATAAATAATAATAACGATTAATCATTTTATCAATGAAGTGTGATGTTGCAAAAAAAAAAAAATAATAATAATAAGAAATTAAGTTTAGCAATGTCACTAATCGAGGGAGATAGAAAGAGAGAGACGACGCCAGTATGACCCAATTGATGGAAGTATGTATGTTATGGAGTTCTGATCTTGTTGTGGCTCCTGCTGCCGGCAGTATCAGCGTCAACATCATTCAGTGACGACATTACCCACAGCGGCGCGAGCAAGAACAAATGAGTTATCATATAACGGTCCTCTCCTGTCTGATTCTGACCCACCCTCTGCAACGTCTGGCTGCTTTCTCTCTCTCTCTCTCACTGCCGTCTGGCGTTTGCCCTCTCCCCTCCTCCCACCTTCTTTGTCGCGTCTGTTACTGGCTGCAGCCTGCAGCAGGAAACCGATGTTGTTGTGAGCAGCGCTGCTGACGGCGCACAAATACTTTTTGCTCCAATTTGCACGCACCAACAACTACAACAACAACAACAACGACAACAACAACAACAGCAGCAGCAGCAGCAGCAACAACAACAAAGTCGCGACAGTCATAAGCTCCTCTATGCGTGTGTGTGTGTGAGAGTTGTCAGGCGTTTGTTTGTATGGACACAGCACTCTTAAATTCCATATTCCACATTGCTTATGCGACAAACGCAGCAAAAGTAAAACCAACAACAATAAAAGTAAAGCAACAATGATGGCAATGCTGCTGGGTTGAGTTTTGCGTCGCGTTCTCTCTTGTTGCTTTCGCGCATTTTAAAAATAGCCAGGCCAGCGCGCAACTGCGAACAACAGAAACGCCAAAGCAAGTGTATAAGTTTTGAAGCACACAGCAACTGACATACCCTATATTTCAATTTAACATTTTTTTAGAAAGGTGGAGAATCTTTATGAAAACGCAGATAATGTAACATAATTTCACTTTAAGACAACTAAAATCGTAAAAAAAAAGGTTAATTCTTTTTGTTTTAATATGCACAAATTTTTCTAACTTTGCTTTTCTTATTGATTGTCCAGTGTATAGAAAAAACATGTCCTTTTCACGCACTCCAAATGCATATAGCATACTTTTAGGGTGCAATATGAATCCTGAAAAAGAGAGTTCATTCCTAATCTATAAAGGCATTTGAAAGTGAGCCAAGCATAGGTCGCATGCAGCTAGGAATGTGCTATGCTCGATCGGAAGGGTATCGTTCGCAGAAGCAACGAGCAAAAAGAAGAAGAAACCAACAACAGAAGACAACAAAAACATTAATGAAATCGTTTTTAACTCGTTTCGCTCAAGTATTTTCATGCGTTTTGTTGTGGGGGACTTGAATCTCGCTCTGCTGTGGCCTCTCTCGCCGTGCTTAGTGTTTCGCTCATCTGAGTTTCGCCGCAGCTTGCTTATAAAAAGTGCAACAACAAACACCGAATACCTACATACATACATACATATGAGCGAATACATGCATGTACGCTATGTGATATATAATATAAATGATAAAAACAAACTCGATACGATCGACACGACACGACGACCCAACAGCAGCAACAACAACAAACAGCAGCGAGAGACTACAGTTTAAAAAAGCTCAAAATCAAAGTCAAAATGAAATGCGAACGTGCTTTTGCTTTTGATCTTATTATTATTACTTTTATAACAAGTATTCGAGCTGAAGTCGATTGCTTGCAGCAAGTGCGCCGCCATTTGTATAATAATTGTCGGATTTGAATTGTGTGAGCCCATTTCTGTTAGCTGTTTTTGATCGCTTTCTTTTACCAATGGAATTAAGTACTTTAGTTATGTACGTATGTATGTACGTGTAAATACCATTTTGCGGAGTTGGTACTTAGTTAGGTACTACAATAAAATATAAATACTATATCCTATGTTCACATACAGATATGTATGATCAGGGATAACAATTTTACCATGAATATATGTAATGCATTTATTATAAATTAATGGAATATGGTTTGCAATATTAAATTTAAGGATTCGCTTGAAGGAACTGTAAATATACATAAATAGGTTGCTGTTGCACAGAAATTACACCATATCCTTGGCAGTGGCGTTTGCGTACCAATGGGAACTCTAGCTAATGTCTGATTGGAGTTTAACACCTAACTGTTCTGAAAGGATTACATTCTGTTTTGTTCTCTAATTGGAAGCGACTATTTGCAACGAGTAAAAGACATTGAAAAACACAAATCATGGTTTCCAGAATAAATCATAACTATATAGGAATTTGCAGCTCAACAAATAATTACGTACATATGTATATATTTAAAAAAATGGTGTGTATATGATAGACAGCGGCAGCGACAGCGACAGCATCAGAAGAAACCTCAGCATTTGTATGTATACCAATTAGAAAACAGGTAAAGAAGCAACTGGTTAAAGAGCTGAAGGCCAACAACAGCAGCAATAGCAGAAGAGGCACAACTCTGTTACCAAAAATATGCAGAGTTATCTAGATCTGTTGTTGTTGTTGTCGTTGGTCTTGACTCTGCTCTCAATCAGCTCCCAGTCACAGTCTTGACCACTGCAAATCCACAAAAAAAAAAAAGCATTAATGATGACGCAGCTTCGGGCGGAGGTCATCAAACTATGATGACGTCGCCATCGCCATCTCCATTGCCATTCACAATTTTATTCGCTCTACAAATATAATAATATATAGCCAAGCGGCATTAGAACGGTTCGAGTGGGACAGATGATATAAAATAAAGCTCCAGCTCTAATTGTTTTTAGTTTCTATTAAATATTTATTTTTGACTTATAGAAGACACATACACACCCACCCAGATATATAGACTCGACAATTCAGAGTTATATGCATACATATGTACATGTGCAATCATTGTAATAGAAAATGGCGATATGTGACGTCATGCTGAACCAATGAATTTGAGTCGCTTTTTTTTTATAAGTTGAAAAGCCGTTAGTTTCGAACGCACACGCTGTCATATAAGCAAAAGAAAAACAGACCGCGCAGCCGTTGAGCAGCAGCAGCAGGTTGATGGATCGGGAACCGGGCAGCGTGACCAGTATTGCCACATATAGAAAATACATAGTGCAGAAATCGGATAATGCAAAACTCACAATTAATATTATATAAATTTCCGAATCAGAGAGTAAGTTTACAATGTTTTCTGGCTTGCGCGAGTTTCTTTCTTCCTTCTGCTCAGTACAAGTAGCGTGGCAGTAGAGGCCGGCATTACACAGTACTACTTAATATGAATTTACCCAGCGCAGCACCCTCCTACACTCGCACACTCACACGGTCGAACACTTGCACACACTCACAATCTATGTACATATATACATGTATGTATGTACATACCCTCGCGCTTTTAAATACGAGTCACATTTTTACAGCCGCTACATTCTAATATAATTATAATTAT